TATAAGACAAACACTGTCTAGGATACCATTGTATCTTTGAATCTAGAATAACTTTTTTTGTTTGTTTGTTGGTTGGTTGGTATAGGTTTGGATTTGTGCCAAGGAAGGGAGGAATGTTGGGAAGAGACACAAAAAGAGAGAGAACAGTCACTCCGTGATGAATTTTGACAATCTGTTTTTCTCTCTTCTTTTGCTGATGATGAAACTCATGTATTTTTTTAAAGCCGCCAAAGCAATGTATCAGTCTTTCTTAAAGAAAGCAAATGTTTTCAAATACTTTAAGAAACTTGGTGAACTAATATCAGGGCTCGGTCTTTAAATTAAAAAGAGAGAGAACTTTTAGCTTACAACTCATTTTAGGTAATATGGGTCCCCAAAATAAGCTGTAAGAAACTGCAGCAGATATCAGCCTTCATCATAATACCATAGGAGGATGATAACATTCCTGTTGCATTTTCTTTTTTAAAAAGGCATCTTTTACAATGTAAGAAAAAGACAGTCAAATTGTTAAATAGGCTTCAAAAATAGTAATAAAAAAAGATTTATAATGCAAAGAATTGATGGTATATTTCACCTAGAGTAAGAAAGACAATGTGTAATAAGGGATTTTGTGGTTTTACAGCTCAGTGCATGTGTTTGAAAGCTGTTCTCTCAGCAACGTGGGTGGCAGGTTATGCTACCATATAATGTATTGTAGTTGGCTCTCCACACTTGTCAGAGTTAGTGTTCAACCATTCGGAAAATTTTCCCATTGTTCTATCATGTGAACCAAGACTAGTGTTGAATTCCCAATAACTTACAAAGAAAAGGTTTAATTAGAAAGTTTGAAATTTGATTACATCTTATTGTTTTAATACGGTGTTATATATTTTAGTATTTTATCTGTTATTGCAATTATTTTTCAGTCAAAAAGATATCAAATCAAAACTTCACCTTATTATTCTTTTTAAAAATAGGTTTTACAGAAATTTGTATACCGAATCTTGCCCTTTTTTCTGTATTAACACTCTATTTCCATCTTAAGCATTTTGCTTTAGATGGACCATGGCTCTTGGCAGCTAGCGCATTTTTAACAAATAATACTGTTTCTAGTAAGAGTTGCAGAGAAAAAAAACTTAGTGTGAGGTCCTTGTAAACTGAACCTTTGGAACATTACTTTATTTCTTTCTCCCCCCCTTTTGTGCTTCTTCTCTATTTGTGTAATGGTTATAAATTGCACCCTTTGAAAAGAAGAATTAAAAACATTTTGTTATTTTTGTAGTTGATTTTTTTCCTTTACCTGTTATTTTAAAGATACACAGCGAAATAAGCAATTATGGTATTGAAATTCCATTGTGCCAGCACCTCCAGAGCATAATCCAAAAAAAACAGAAAACCGCCTGCTGGGTTGTCTGCAATATGCTTGTGTGAACATCAGTGTCTGCTGTTCACACATCATTTTTTTTTTTACTGAAAGTTCCTCTTGGAATAAAGACTCTGTGTTTTCTGAGTGTAGTGAAACGTTTTGTTGGTCCATATATTTTAAATTTGTGAGGATTTCTGTTTGTAGGGTAAGTTGTCATATATGTATATTCCATGATTGTCCCTGGCACATCAAGAAGTAGAGAAAAGGCATGTCTGTTTATGCACTATAAATAATGAAAAACTTTAAATGAAATGAGACAGTATTGAAAGGGAGAAATAATGAGCTTTTGTTGAAGATACATATGAAGAAGGATTGATTTAAATATTGACTTTTGCCCTTTAAAATCTATTTTATTTATAAAGTGAAGTGTATCTTGGCTAGATGAATATAAAAATATCATAAATTTGTCCTATGTTTCATTTGAAATTCAGATAAATATGGTGGCTTCTTGACAATATTGAATTAGTAAAATTTTTCAACTGATCCTACATTATTCTAACTAAGGAATGTATTAGAAAATATATTTATGGATCCTTAGATTAATTTTTAAAAATTTTTAATCTTATTTACTTCTTTCATTTTTATTCTTCTTACGCTACTGGGTATCATATTAGACAGACAGCAAATTTGCAAAATGTAGTCCAGTGTGTTGGCAGTCTTAACCTTTCACTCAGACTCATAAAACATCAGAAAGAAAAAGCATTTACCAGATAATAGGGAACTTCAGGTTTAAATTTAGCGAAATGAAATTGATACCCACAGTCTCCCATAAGGTTTATTTGAATCATTCAGCATTGTTCTTTTTCTTAGAAACTTTCCATGCAGAAGTTAATAAAAGAGTAAATACACAAATTCCTTGCTGAAACTGGGTTTTACCCATTTCAACTATTTTTCGTTGAGAGATAATTTCAGGTTTGTTCATTGAGAGATAATTTCAGGTTTGTTTGCCTCTGAATTTCACTCTGATTTTCTTGATCAATTAAAATGCACTTCTGCATTTCATAATTGTATGAATCTTTTAATTATTGTTTCTTCTGATTATTAGAATGAGTTTACTGTCTTATCTGAGAGCAGTTATTACGTATAGTCAGCAGGTCTAGTGGACAATGATGCTTGCCAGTCTCTCACATGTTCTCCTCAATTTGCTTCTTCTTAGTTGTCTTAACCTTTCTTTCAGTCCCATAGATGGGAGAGGTGGTCATCTAAACAAGATATATCTCACGTGTGCCTCTTGGAAAGGGAAGTGAAAGCACCAAGTCCTTAACATGCTCGTTTTCTAAGGGCCTAAGACGCCTCAGTCTCCTGATTGCCACGAAGCCTAATTGCTCACAGGGCAACCTGGCACACTGCCATTTCCCCACTGAGCTGTTTGTTGGTGCTTGTGAATAGAACAAAAATGTCTTTGCTTTTTTACTCAGTTGTCACTGATTGCAGTTTTAGGAAACAAGTTAACATTTTTCTCAAAATGATAGTAATTCACATCAAAATGAAGTCAAACTTCCTAATATCTAAGCAATAAGTAGTAGAGTTAGTTCACTGCTTTTAAAATTTATATAATATAAAATTCATTACTTCTTACTCCAAAATATTCATTTTTATAATTCTACCATACCTATTCTAGACAGAAGTTCTAGATTTGGATAAATACTTCTGAAAGTAAATTATGAGGTCGAGTTTTTTGTACTTTTATAAACAAAACATGTTATATATATGAATTATGGGACCAATGGAAATCACAGATCTTGCAAGCAAAGTGTGTGTGGGGGGACTACTTCAGCTGTTTTGAAAAGCTGTTATTGTGAATACTAGAGATGTTTGCATTTTAACTTTTAATATAAATAGAGATATATATTGGGTTTTCACCTCTGCCTAGACGTCTAACAAGAACTTCATCTGTTCCCATTGTCATACTTTACTTCTAGGTACCATGACTAATAGGAAACAATGAGTATTGTGGGACTTTGACACAGTTGCGTTACTTTCTTCTTTTCTTCCCAATCTCCTTCAGAATTCCACATCTCTTTAAAGCATATATAGATTTTTGAATTGCCAGTATTTATTCATTTGTACTCATCTCAGAATATATGTTCTTCTCTTATTTTTATTCTAGAGAGACATACTTTAAGACTGCTTTATTACTGTGATGTTCAGAGCTTTGGCAGGGAAATGACTTTCAAATCCTGGCTTCATCCTTCACCAGCTAGGTGACCCTTGGCACATTGTATAACCTCTCTATGAACTTCAGGTTCCTCAGCTATAAATTAGGAATGTGGTATTGGGATGATTAAAACAAATATATGTTAAGTGCCTGGCACATGGTAGCAGCTCAATATATGGTAGCTGAAAGGAGCAAAGCCTTGAAAATTGGTAATGTTTTTATAGGCTGTAAAAGCATCCACAATATGCCTTTCTATATAATCTCATGAAATTGAGTTTTAGCTCCACAAAACTATTGGATATACATTTATATCTTTGAGTTGATAAAGATCCAAGAGCATGGGCTTTGGAGTCATCTGCTGGGGTCTGAGTTCCTGTTCTGCCACTTAACTATGAACCTTGGAAAATTAGCTTCTCTGTGCCTCAGATTTCTTGTGTATAAAATGAAGATGAAAATAGTGTACCTCATAGGGCTGTTGCAAGGCTCGAATAAATTAGTACACGTAAAACTCTTAAAACAATGCCTGGCAAAGAGTAAGTGCTCCAAACATGTTAGTTGTTACTAACTTATTGTCTCATAGAAAAGAAAAAATCATAAAGCCAGAAAACTCAAATGGAGTCAGCCCTAATTAATGGATGTCTCTTTCATTCACTCCTAAGTAATTTCCATTACCTTTCTTTCCAGTCCCCTTCAGAGTTCCACATCTCCTTAAAGTGTATTTAGGACTATATTGCAGTTAGAATTCTGCTTTTTACTCATTATCTCCATAGAATTGAGATATCCTTGCAGTAAAAATCTCTAGATGTCTCTTAATCAGATGTATCTGTCATGTTTGTCACATGCTTCCCATAGGTCTTGCCTTAGCTTTTTAACAGTTGTTTTGAAGATAGTTTGATTGTGAAAAAACCTTTCAAAGGCTTCATTGCTATACTGAACATTTTTTAAAAAGGTAATTGGATCTCCCTGTATCCTTCTGCTTCAACTGGATTTTTTAAATAAGCAATTACTTACTTGGTGGTTAAGTGATTTATATAAAAAATATTTTATTGTGATTCTTTGGGATCTTGAATTCCTGATTTCCCCATCTATTTTTCAGAGCTTTATAATCCTATGGTAGACCATCAAACAGCCTGTTTCTGTAGATATATTACTGACGTGTACTTAAAGGCTATCTTTAACTTTTCTTGTTTTGAGTATTTATTTATTATTAAGATTTAAGGTGATAGAATGACAGTCTACTTAATTTGCTGTACCTTAAAAATTACTCATGCATGTGAAAAGTCTAAATTTGTGTATATTTGCATAAGGTTTTCTCATGTCTATTATACATACAAATTCTGTTTCATTTTTGCTTTGGGATAAAAGATTAATATAAAGTATAAATTAAATATACATTCATTTACTTTAGAGCGCATTTAACAGCAAATCATAATTTACCTGGAATATCAAGGACTAGGAAAAAGCTGAACCTCCTACAAGGCACGAGAAGTTCTTCAACTGTGTGCTAGAGTTTCTGCAACCGTTTTTGTTGTGTGCTTAGTGTTCGCTTATCCCCAAAGTCTGTAAAACACACAGATACAGTTTACATGTAACCTGTTTAATGTAAGAAACAGAACGTTATGAGCATCCCAGAAGCTGGCAGTGTACCCTCCTCCCTTCCCTATCACAATCCTTTCCTTACCCTTTAGAAGTAATCTCTATTCTAACTTCTTATAATAATTTCCTTAGCTTACTTTATACTTTTACCACCTCTGTATGTGTCTCTAAGCCAATAGTTTAGTGCCTGTTTTTGAACTCTAAGTGGTTTAAACTTGTGATCGTATTTCTGCCTCTCTTTGTTTGTTTTTGTGAACTTGATGAGGCTTACGAGTCTTTAATTTTCAGTTATACTAACTTGGAATTTTTTAAGTTTATTTTTACTATGGTAAAACATGTACATAGGTTAGAAGTCTGAAAGGACTGCAGTGGATTTAGAACACCAGTACTTCTCTCCTATCCCACAGCCCATCTCACTCCTTGGGAGCAATCCTCTTAGTTCTTTTAGCCTTGTTTTTTTGTTTTTTTTTGGTATTTGCTTTCATATTTCTAAATAACATATGTACATAGATACTTGTAATAGATATTACAATTCTAAGTGATGTGTGTGTACGTATCCATATTTAAAGACATGATCTAATGATGTCTTCCTATGAAACACCAGGATTTAGCTCTATAATCCCATTTCTTCTCTCGTATACTTCTCTTCATCTTCCTAGTATGGTTTTTCATGGTATTTGCTGAAATCGTTATGTACATTTCCATTATTATGATGACTTAAGTATTGTTTATACCTGATTGATGTCATGTCTTATGCTTAAATTTCCTTTTTAGGCATAATTTTATTGTCCTGGAATCAATAGTTGTGCATTGTTTCCTTAATTTTTAAAATGTTACCAGTTACTAATATATCCCTAAATTCTCTTACAGATCTATAAAATACTTCTTGAAACAGTCACAATTGCTCTCTTAGTTCCCTACTTTTTTCTTGGCAATACCCCTCCTGGACCTCCAGCTCAGATACTGTGTCAGTGTGTCAGTGGAAATTCAATCAGGGAAGCAGAGCACTGGTGAGGGGGGATGTCTATAGCATTTATGTGTGTGTACATATGTATACATGTATGGGAGGGTGGGTGGCAGTATATAATAAGGGATTCATAACAGGGGTGTTAGCTTAGACAAGTAGGAGTTGGTTAAATCAATTCTGTAAGGCTGTTGTTTTCATGTCTGATGCTGGAGCTTGAAATCAACAGGGCAGGAATTCAAAAGTAAAGATAGATGTAAAATGGTAGAGAGCAAGGACAAACTGGAACCCATAAGCACAAACGAGATGAACTGTAATCCATGTCAGTTCTCACTGCCTCTAACCTTGTGATGTGAGTGTCCTGCAGAAGAAGCTGTTGCCCTTTATCATAGAGCAGACATACATCTGTCCCAGGAGTTAGAGAAGCCCCAGGAGGATCCAGGGGAAGGTGGAGCAGTTACAGGCCTGGCTACTGCTCCATGACAGTGAGATGAGCCAGCAGATAGTGACAACATGTGTGATCTGCAGGAGTGCTTACCTCAACTTGGATGTAAAAAACAAAGTGGCTGCTGCTTCTCTTCTACCCTCCAAATCTTACATGAAAGTATCTCTTGTGTCCCTCTAACCAGAAACATGTGGGAAAGGAGATCCTGGGAATTGTAGTTTAGGCCAGCCAAGGTGACACATTACCGAGCTGCCACAGGTAGCCATGAGAATATTCCTGTCAGATCTCTGACTGTGGGGAGTAGCTGACTGATGGTCCCAGCTGCTGCTCTCTGAAATCCATCAACAGGTGTGTGCCGAGGCCCTGTCTCCACAATCTGTCCCCAACCAGTGACTGAGTACAGCAGAGGCGCTAAAGCAGGCTCATTCCTGGGGACTCTGGACCCTTCTGACAGGCAGCCTTGGCGCAAGGAGTCCCTGATGGTCTTACTGAACTTTACCTAGAACTGCACTGCAATCTAACACATAGCCATTCAACCTTCCTTCCCTGTCTCCTTCCCCTGGGGTCAGACCTGCATCGCTGTCTGACAGCTCTTCCAGCCTCCCCAGCTCCCCCCACTTTCTCTCACAGATGTTTCCAGTAATAAATTTCTGGTACATCTCTTCGTGTCTTGGTGCCTGTTTCTCCGAGCACCCAGACTAACAGTTGTTTTCTTAAGACATCCCTTCAACATCATCCTGGGAATTTCCTTCACCTTCTCTTTTGGTAGATCCCTTGTTTCCTGGATCCCATCTTCATCTTTCTTGATTTACTTTCTTTTTGGTGGAATGCATCCTCCACGTGGGAGGTAAAATTGTTAAAACCTTGCATGACTGAAAACTTTATTTTAATCTCACCCTCGAGGGATGATTTGGCTGGGTATGGAATTCTAGTTTGGAAATAATTTTTCATCAGAATTTGAAGCACATTCTCCATTGCCTCATAGTTTTCAGTGTAAACGTTGAGAAATTCACTGCCACTTTTGATTTCTGATTGTTTGCATGTGACCTATTTTTCTCTGTAGAAGCTTTTATAATCTCCTTATCCTTGATGTTAAGAAACTTCAGGATGCTATACCATGCGTGTGTGTGTGTGTGTGTGTGTGTGTGTGTTTCTTTCATTGCCCTAGGTGGTCAGTGGATCCCATCAGGGAGGAGACACCTGTCCTTCAGTTCTGGGAAGTGCTCTTATGCTCTTTCATACTTTTCCTCTCTGTTTTCTCTTTCTGAATCCACATTTGTTAGCTGTGATACCTCCTGTATTGAGCCACAGATTTTTTCATTTTTTCTCCCTTCTGTTTTTTGGTCTTCCAAGAAATTCATTTAAATTTGGTTAATTTTTAAAATTTTTGCTCTCATATATCTATCTCCATATGTGTGTGTGTGTATACATATATATATGTATATATATATATATATGGATATGGATAAATATCTATCTTTATGACGACCCATTTTGTTTTATTTTTTTTGAAAGTTTATTTTTTTATCAAAGTAACATTGGTTTATAACATTATATAAATGTCAGTTGTACATCATTATATTTTGATTTCTGTGTAGACTACATCATGGTCACCACCCAAAGACTGATTACCATCCATCCCGTGCACATGTGCCCTATCACCCCTTTAGCCCTCCTCCCTGCCCCTTCCCCTCTGGTAACCACCAATCTATTCTCTGTATGTTGTTTGTTTGTTTGTTATTGTTGTTGTTTATCCTGCACATGAGTGAAATCATACAGTGTCTGGCTTTCTCCATCTGACTTATTTCACTTAGCATACTACCCTCAAGGTCCACCCATGTTGTTGCAAATGGCAGGATTTCATCTTTTTTTTTTATGGCTGAGTAGTATTGCATTCTATGTATGTGTGTGTGCATGTGTATATACATACATATATATATATACACACACACACACATACATATATAGCACATCTTCTCTATCCATTTATCCATTGATGTGCACTTAGGGTGTTTCCAAGTCTTGGCTATTGTGAATAATGCTGCAGTGAACGTCGGGGTGCAAATATCTTTTCAAAGTCGTGTTTTCATGTTTTTTGGATAAATACCCAGAAGTGGAATACCTGGATCATATGGTAGTTCTATTCTTAATTTTTTCAAGACTATCTCCATACTGTTTTCCATAGTGTCTGCACCAGTTGACATTCCCACCAGCAGTGGATGAGGGTTCCCTTTTCTCCACATCCTCTCCAACATTTATTATTTCTTGTTTCTTTTAATAATAGCCATTCTGACGGGCATGAGGTGATATCTCATTGTGGTTTTGATTTGCGTTTCCCTAATAATTAGTGATGTTGAACATCTGACGTGTCTGTTGGCCATCTATATATATTTTTTGGGAAGATGTCTGTTTAGATCCTTTGCCTATTTTTTAATTGTGTAATTGGGTTGTTTGTTTTTTTGTTATTGAGTTGAATGAGTTCTTTATGTATTTTGGATATTAATACCTTATCAGATATGTGATTTGCAAATATCTTCTCTCAATTGTTAGGTTGTCTTTTCATTTTGTTGATGGTTTCCTTTGTTGTGCAGAAGCTTTTTAGTGTGATGCAGTCCCATTTGTTTACTTTTTCTTTTGTTTCCCTTGCCTGGGGAAACATGACATTCAAAAAGATACTGCTAAGGTCAATGTCAAAGAGCATGCTGCCTATGTTTTCTTCTAGGAGTTTTATGGTTTCAGGTCTTACATTCAAGTCTTTAATCCATTTTGAGTTAATTCTTGTGAATGGTGTAAGATGACCCATTTTAAATGACATACAATTAATCCCTCTTTGCCATCTCTTGATCTTTGGGATATTTTTAGAGTCAGTTTCTTACACAGTATAATTATTGCCTTATTTCGGATTAGATGGCTAAAATGTAGGTGAACATCCATTCAAGTTAAGGCTGAAGAGGTAAGTAGAGGCCAGATCATGAAGGGCCTTGTCAATCTGTGTTAAGAATCATGGATTTATTCTTATTATCATGAGAAGCTAGTGAAAAGTTTTTCAAGTTTACATTTTTATCAAATGACTGTTGCTAATCCAAGTTTAGACTAGAGGAGAACAAAAGTACAGCAAGACTAGTTAAGTGGCCATTAATAATAATCCTGAGTAGCAGATAGTGTTGATTACCTATGCAACATTCTTCCATCTTTCTTCCTTGCCAACAGAGACCACTTTCCACCGTTAAAACAGAAAGTGCCTGATACTCCATTCCCAACTTCCCTTTCATCTAGTGCATAGGCATGTGATCCAGCCACGGCCAATGAGAGATCTGATAGCTTCTGGAAAATATTTTCCTCTGTAATTAAAAGAGGAAAAAAACCTTTTTGAACATTTTTGTGTGAGAACATGATGCTTGCAGCTGCTGCAGACGTCACAGACACACAGAGTATGACAGAACAGAAAGATCTGGGTCTTTTTTTTTAATTTTTAATTTTCATATTGATACAAAAAAGTCTACATATAATAAGTGAACTGCTCACTGAATTTTCATAAACTGAAGACACCTATGTAACCAGTAACCAGATAAGAATCCAGAAACCTCTTTATGTTTCCTTATGCTCCCTCAAGGCTACCCGGTATTCTAACTTCTAATAGTATAGGTTACCTTCACTTGGGTTTTTTTTTTTAATCTTTTTGTTTTTGTTTTTTTATTTTTTACTTTGTAAAGATGGAATCATGTTGTGCATATACTCTTTTGTGTCTGGCTTCTTTTACTCAGCATATTTGTGAGAGCCATCTATTTAGTTGGATAGTTATAGATTGTTCATTCTCATTGCTTTTTCTCTAGAGAGAGTTTGCTTTTTCTTGTGCTAGGCAGACAGATTGAGAAGCTTTGCTCTCAGTCTCTCAGTTGAGTTAAGGCTGTGTTGCAGTTTTGGTAAGGTTGCGTCTATCTCTGTTCTTTAATACTCTTACCTCATAGCACGCAGGCCTTTCATTTAGGGGCCTGGTGTGTTTGCTGGGGTCCTTCCCCCTGGCAGGTTCTAGACTCTAGTATTTGTTTCCTCAGCCCTGACAGATTGTCAGAAACTCTACTGTGCTTCTCAGAGACCCCTTGCTTATTCCTTCAGCCTCCAATTCCAGGCAACTTCATTGTGGCAGATATTTTGAGGGGAAAATAGACTGTGTGCTTGAAGCTCTTGAAGTCTCTAATTGTGTCTTTTCTGAAAGACTGCTAGTATTAGCTCTGCATGTTTCTCTGGCTTCAAGAAGCAACTCTCTACCTGGGCAAAACAACAGTTCTCCACATCTTGCCTCATCCCAGAGTGAATAAATGCCCCTGCCCCGTGGTTAAAGTGGGTGCAGAAAGACCAGCAACCTGTCTGAGGTTTCTCCTCCTTGGAATCCTGACCCTGTCTAGTCCTTTTTGCTTTAGCAACTCTTTTGATAACTGTAAAATGATGATTTTTGAATTTTACCTGTAGTTATTTTCAGCAGGAACATTGGTATGCCACAAACTACTCCATTGTCTTGAATTTAAAAAGAGACACTTTTAAAGTCCAGACTTTTCCATGTGAATTTTGAACATCAGCATATAGCCACTTGAGGTACCTGAAAGTCATGGATCTGGATACGATTGTATAGGACAGTTGTGTGGATTAAACTGTGTATTGTGAGACTAGTTTTAGGACAGAACTGTGAGGAATGTAACACTTAAGGAACAGGCAGAGGGGTCTCCAGAGAGACACAGAAGAAAGTAGGGGGAATACCTGAAGAAGGTGAAATCACGGATTCTACAAGAAGAGAACATTTCAATAAAGAGGTTGCATCAAGTTATATGGAAAGGATAAGAAGGTTTGCGCTGAAAAGGATCCCATGGATTTAGCAATAATGAAACTTATTATCTTACAACATTCCTATGAGGAAAGCGTAAAAATTGTACAGGGCCAGCCCCAGTGGCCTGCTAGTTAAAGTTCGTCCTGCTCCGCTTCGGCAGCTTGGGTTCTATTCCCAGGCACAAAACCACACCACTTGTCTGTCAGTGGCCATGCTGTGGTGGTGGCTCACATTAAAAAAAAAAGGGGGGGCTGGCCCCATGGCTGAGTGGTTAAGTTCTCTCTTTCCACTGCAGGCAGTCCAGTGTTTCATTGGTTCGAATCCTGGGTGCGGACATGGCACTGCTCATCAAGCCATGCTGAGGCAGCGTCCCACATGCCACAACTAGAAGGACCCACAACAAAGAATATACATCTATGTACTGGGGGGTTTGGGGGAGAAAAAGGAAAAATAAAATCTTTAAAATAAAAAGAGGAAGATTGGCAACAGATGTTAGCTCAGGGTGAATCTTCCTCAGCAAAAAAAAAAAAAAAAAAAGGGGAATAAAATCCTAATTTTATTTTATTTTATTATTATTTTTTTGTTTTTTTGAGGAAGATTAGCCCTGAGCTAACATCTGCTGCCAATTCTCCTCTTTTTGCTGAGGAAGACTGGCCCTGGGCCAACATCTGTGCCCATCTTCCTCTACTTTATATATGGGACGCCTGCCACAGCATGGCTTGTCAATCAGTGCCGTGTCCGCACCCGGGATCCCAACTGGTGAACCCCGGGCTGCCAGAGCAGAACGTGTGCACTTAACCGTTGTCCCACCAGGCTGGACCCCTAATTTTATTTTTGATCTACAAAAATGACAATTTTAGATGGTTGAACCTAATAGATGGAGAAGTAAAAGTCTAGGAAGGAGAAGTAATTTACTTAAACTCAAGACTAGAAGTGAATTCAAATCTTGGTCTTCTTTTGACATCTGGTCTGATGTTCTTTCCACCGTACTATGTATTTTTATCTATTTCTATCATTTCTTGATTATTCATTACTTAGATAAGACTTTTAGCCTTGCTTTTGTAAAAGAACTAAGGTGAAATTTTATTATGTATTTATGCATGTGTTTATATTTACTGGTTTTCTTTTTAATGATAGTTAAATCTAGTTAACTTGGGAAGTAGTATTTTGTTGTTGCTGTTCAAAAATTTTCTGCAATTTTTTAACATTTCTTTACTATTTTGGGCTTTTGATGAAATTATTGTTTAATTTTAGTTGATATTGACTTCAGATTTATTCAGAATTGTTCATGTAGATTAGTAGAACATTCTTTCTAGTTCTTCTCTTTTTTGTTCTTCTTTCTTTAAAACAGGTAAGCTACATAGTCTTAACTCTCCAGGATCTCTTTTGGGAGTAAATTTCTCTGTATAGAAACTTTTTGTGACAGTTTCTAGTCCACAATAAATGTCTTGACCATCTATAGCAGGGTGACTGATTTTGACCTCAAACTCACCTTCTTAGGCGGTCGCCTTCTTCACTAGGGCGAAAGACCTTGCTTCTATACTGAGCTCTTTGAGTCGGATTCTGTCTTTTTTAAGCTGCTTTTGTGATATCTTTACTTTTAACACATTTGGAACTTTTGAAGTTTCTTTAGGATCATATTAGATTTCCTTTCTCTACAAGTAGGTCATCATTGCTGTTAACTGGTTGTGTTCCTTCTTAAGTGAAAGAATGGTTAAAATTCCAGAATCTTCTGCTTCACGTGTTGAAAGTTCTGATATTGAGATTCTATAGAATTTCATCAAGCCGCAGCTATGGTTAATGAAGGAGGAGAAGGTTGTGAGAGTGGGGAGCAGAGGATAACTTTCTTGAATCAGCTATCAAGTAGTTGTTTCTTCTTTCATTTATTTTCCAGGGCTCTGTGATTAGCAGTAAGAAAGTACATGTAAACAACTTTGTATTTAATATTTGACATGACTTTTATTGATGAATAACTTCTGTTTTAATGTAAGCTTTGCTTGTTGTGGACTTAGTATTTTTAATCAGTGTATCCTTGGAGGGGTACACCTGCTCTTAAATAAATCACAGCTGGAGTACAGGTAGTGACTTAGAGGTTGCTGATAGGAAGTAGAAGATCCCAGGGACGGACTGAGAGAAACCTTCATGGAGAAACTAATGGATTGTATTTACATACAGTTTTCACCATCATGGGCTTTGTACCATAGCAGCTGATATCAAGGAAGGAATATTGAGGAAAGGTGATAGCTCCTATTCAGAAGTGACTTGGTAAGCTTTGGGCTGACAGTACTGAAGTTGTGGTCTATTATGTGGCTTCTCCTGCCACTCAGTGGAATACCTGCTATGCACATTGCCCCTAAAACATGTATTTTACAAGTAAAATTAAGTTGACTAAACAGGATCATGGTCAAGTAATGAAATGAAATGAAATATTGAAGAAATATTTATTTCAAATTAATACTAGGAATGGTCTCAGTTTATTTTATCTATTTGGGTTAGTTATAAACACTTGTAAAGCACTAGATATTTTTTAATGTAGAATTTTCACCAGTCTTATATAAATTTTTCAATATTCAGTATTCATCTGTTGCCCTTGTGTATTAGTTTTCTATTGCTGTCTAACAAATTACTACAAACTTAGTGGCTGAAAACAATACGTATTTGTTATCTCCCAGTTTCTGTGAGTTAGGAGTCTGGGCATAGCTTAGCTGCATCCTCTGCTTAGGATCTTACAAGGCTGCAGTTAAGATATTGTTCAGGGCTGCAGTCTCATCACAGGCTCCACTGGGGAAGGATCCACTTCTAAGCTCATTCAGGTAGATGTATTTTTAAGCACATAATTTCAAGTATCCTATTTAGCTTAGCATTAATAAGTTTTAACTTTATTAATCTTTAAATTTATCTGTCTTTACTGAATTGCCAGTTATTTTCTCTGTCATTTACAACATTTCTTACTATCTTTAGTAAATCATGTTATATATTTTGTATACAAAACTGTGTTTAAACTATGATATGTAAAGCTTTAAAAGCCTTAAAATTTAAAATATAAATAGGTCTTAGTCAAGCACATCATTAGATAAAATCCAGAATATAATGATAAACTGTATCAAAGACATGTTCTGCGAGGGAATTGATTTGACAAGATTGGTTTCAGCAATAGGGACAAGATTCACATTGGAGTGGGATAAAGATAACTAGCAAGTGAAAAATTAAAACCAACTTTTTAAGGGGTTTGCTGTGAAAGGAATCAGAAAATTGGGACAGTAGGTGGAAGAGGACATAGGACTAAGAAAGGGTTTTATTTTTAATTTTTTAAGATAATAAGTATTATAGAATGTTTGTATGCTGATGACAGTGATCCAGCGGGAAGAGAAAATGATTTGGAGAGATGTTTATTGTGGGAGCGGAGTCTTTGGTTGGGAAAGAAAGGATGGGATCTGTTGAGTAAATAGAAGAACTGGCCTCAAAAACGTGCAGTAGCGGTTTAACTACTGTATAACAGTTGATGAGAAGATAGTATTTTTTTTCTAATTGTTCTATTTTCTTAGTGAAAGAAGATATTAACTTAGAGAGAGAAGGTTAGACCAAGTGTTAGGATTTGAGGGAACAGCTCAGAAACAGCCATCCCAGAGACAGTGAAAGCAAATTTTCTAAAGAAATGTACACTTGAATATAGACTTGTCGTCTTGAATTTAAAGTGGGAACCAGTCAGCACAGTTGGTTATTTTTTTCCAATAGGCAGAGAGTTGGGTTTAACCAGGATTGTTGTTTTTTTCCTCAAAAAATATGAACCAATGAGAGAGGGACATTTGAATAAAGTGTGTACAGGAGTTGATAATCATGATTAACTATAGGATGTTGTTGAGGTAAAGTGGAAACTGAAGATACTGTGTGGGTTAAGGAACAGCAAAAAAGTAGGTGGAATCAATAGTCTAGCTGTTTTGCTAGGGTTAATGCTATTGCAGTGGGGTCACTAGAGAAAGCTGGTGACTTAGGAGGCTATAGAGATGGGGATGCTTGAAGTCAAGATTTCAACTGTAGAATATAACTGTGGGAGGGATAACTGAGGTGGAGTGGAGATAAAAATTGTTGGAAGTGAAGAAGTTGAGGAAAGGAGAATCCGGATCGTTAAATGGATTATCTCTGTGGATGTTGAAAACACCAAGAAGGATGATTCTATTGGTGGAGTAAAGGAATGCTATCAATGAGTTGTTAAAATTAGATACTGAAACTTTCTGAAAACTTTTCCTCTTTTGAGTCCCTCTGCCAACCACCACCAAATTAAAAATAGATTTTTTTAATAAGATAAATACATATTTATTGAGAAAAACATAGATAATACATAGAGTTAGAATAAAATGAAAATGATCTGTATTCTCACTGTTCTAGATATTGCCTATTTATATTTTGACTTTATCCCTACAAAAATAATCTTTAAAAAATATATATATAAGATCATGCAACGCATGTTATTTAGTAGTTTGCTTTTTAAAATTACCCAGATATAGCTGTAAATAGCTGCAAATATATGTAGAGATACATCATTTTAAATTGCTACAAGATATTCCAGGATATGGATGGACCATAATTTATTTAACCACTCTATATTTCATTTTTGCTGTATAAGAAATCACATTAAAACTTAGTAGTATTAAATAATAGTAATCGTTTATTACCTTTCATGGTTTCTGTTCAGGAATTTGGAAGGAGCTTCACTGGACATTTCTCTCTTGGAGTCTCTCATGCCATTAGTGTCATATGTCACCTAGACTGATTGGGATGAGAGGATCCACTTCTAAAGTGGTTCATTCAGATGGATGGCGGATTGGTGCTACTTTTTGGCTGGGGACCTAGGTTTCTCTCCCCATGGACCTCTCCAAGGGGCTTCTTGAGTGTCTTCATGTCATGGTAGCTGGCTTGTCCCAGAAAGTGATCTAGTAGACTTAGGCAAAAGCTGCAATGCCTTTTGTGACTTATCTGTAGAAGTCACACATCGTCACTTGTGACATATTCTGTTGGTTGCACAAAGCCAGCCCTAATCCATTGTGGAAGGGTACTTCACAAGAGCCTGAATTACCAGGGGTCATCTCGGGGTCTGGCTACCACAGTTACCCAGCTATTGGTGGTCATTTAACTTATTTCCAATTCTGAATATTGTTATCCATGTAATCCTTGTGCCCTTGTCTTAAGTATTTTCCTATGGTTCTAGAAGTGGAGTTACTCTAAAAATTTTGATAGGTGTTAACCAAAGTACTCTTCTGAAAGGTTATACCTATTTAATTTCCATATCAGTCTATGAGAGTATATATTTCCCTCACCAATACTCAAGTGTTCCTAATTATTTTAATCTTTGCGAATCTGATATGTGTTTTATGTGTATAACTTGTATCTATTTAATTATTAGTGAGATTGATTGAACAATTTTCTGGTGTTTGTTGGCCCATTGCATTTCTCTTTTATTTTTGTGAATGGTCTGTACATGATATATGTCGATTTTTTTAATAGTGTTTATTTTTTCTTATAATTGTTACTAAAATATCAATCCTTTGTTGTGAAATTTACAAATTTTTTCCCCCAGTTTACTATTTGTTTTTACTTTGTTTTTAGCCTTATAAAAATTTTTTGATATTCATGTAGTCAAATTTGTTGGGTTTTTTTCCTTCATCATATTTGGGTTTGTGAATTGCTTTGGATGGTGAACCCTACCAAAAGATTATAAACATACTCCTATATATTTTTCCTAATGCTGTTGTACTTATGTTGTTATGATTGTTTGTATGTATAGATATTTAATTCTTTAGGAGTCTACTTTTGTATTTGGTATAAAGTTGAAATCTAAACTTTTTATTTAAGCAACCAGTTGTTGCAGTACTATTTTTTGATTAAGCCATTCTTTCTTCGCTGTAGCTGTTGGTTTTCTACTCAATTACTGTTCTCTCTAACTCTTTTTCTGATAGAATTCCAATTTTACTCTATTTCCCCCAGAGAGTAACCATGTACTGCCACCATCTCCAACCCCAGGGAGTGAATCCTAATTGAGCCAAACCAATCATGGTGGTCCCGCTTCTCTGCTGATGATTGACTTAGGGATGGATATTTAATAAGAGCTTCTGCAAAGGTGTGCTTGTTCTTCAAAAGGGATCCAAGAGAGGAATAGTACTTGATTTCTGCCTCTGGAAGAGTGCTGCAGCCATCTAGTGACTGTAAGGGAAGCTAGCTTGGGGACAATACTAACCCACCCACGTTGGAAGAATGAAAAGATGAAAGGACCTGAGTCCTAGATAGCATCCTTGACCTACTCTGTTACTGTGTTAACTCAGGCATTCCTATTGTGTGAGATGATAAATTTCCTCATTGTTTAAGCCTCACTGAGTTAGATTTGTGTTACCTACAGTCAGATGCATCCTCACTGATACCACCTACTGATTTGAAATGCAGTACCATACCATTTACTTAATGTAGCTTTATATTAGGTTTTGCTGTCTAGAATTATCAGCCCTATTCCTTACCCCCATTTTTCTTTTTCAGATTTTAACTCTTCAAACCCCTCCTTTTTTTCCCCCAGAAAAACTTTAGAATCTAATTAATATTTAGCTCTGCTTTCTTTTTGGTTTCATCTGTCAAATATATTTATACCATTTGCTTGTATTTAGAATATTTGTTAATTCCTGTGTTAAAACACAGATTTGCCCTTTTTTAGATGATATGTAGTTACATTTTGAGTTTTTTAAAATAACAGCTTTATTCACATACAATACAATTCACTGATTTAAGATGTATAATCAGTGGTTTTTAGTGTATTCACAGAGTTGTGCCACCACCACCACATCAATTTTAGAACATTTTTATCGCCCCCCCCCCCCAAAAAAGTCTGTACCAGTTAGTAGTCACTTCCCAACCTATTCCCCACTACCCAGCCCTAACCCACTACCAATTTACTTTCTGTCTGTATGGATTTACCTACTCTGGATGTTCATATAAATGGAATCATCCAGAATGCAGTCTTTTGTGAGTGGCTTATTTCACCTATTTTCAAGGTTCATCCATGTTGTGCATATATCAGTGCTTCGTTTCCTTTTATTGCCAAGTAACATTCCATTGTATGGATCTATCCCATTTTGTTTAGCCATTCATCAGTTTATGAACATTTGGGTTGTTGCTATTATGAATAATGCTGTTACAAACATTTGTGTGCACATTTTTGCATGAACTTATGTTTTCATTTCTCTTGGATATACCTTAGGGTGGAATTACTGGGTTCTGGTAACTCTATGTTTAATCTTTTGAGGAACTGTGAGTGATTTTCCAAAGTGGCTGCACCATTTTACATTTCTACCAGCAGTGTTTTAGGATTCCAGTATTTCCACATGGTTTGAGTTTTTTTTGACTTTGAACAGAGAACCTGAGTTTTTTTTTTTTATGTGGTAAAATATACATAAGATAAAACTTGCCATTTTAATCATTGATAAGTACAGTTCTGTGGCGTTAAGTATATTCATGTTCTTGTGCAACCATCACCACTATCCATCTCCAGAGGTTTTTTTATCTTCCCTAACTGAAACTCTATACCCCTTAAACAATAACTCCCCTTTTTCCTCCCTCCCTGCAGCCCCTGGCAACCACCATTCTACTTTCTGTCTCTATGAATTTGACTGTTCTAAATACCTCGTATGAATGGAATCATACAGTATTTGTTCTTTTGTGACTGGCACATTTCACTAGCATATCTTTAAGAGAACGTGAACTTTTTTATTTTTTTAGAATTTTTTTTTTAAAGATTTTATTTTTCATTTTCTCCCCAAAGCACCCCAATACATAGTTGTGTATTTTTTTTTCTTTTTTTTTAGTTGTGGGTCCTTCTAGTTGTGGCCTGTGGGATGCCGCCTCAGCATAGCTTGATGAGTGGTGCTGTGTCCACACCCAGGATTTGAACTGGCGAAACCCTGGGCCGCTGAAGCGGAGCCGGCAAACTTAACCACTCGGCCATGGGGCCGGCCCCAGAACCTGAACTTTTTTAAAGCAGTGTTTGATGTACGCATCTTTTCCCAACTTATTTTATGCTCTTTATATATCGTGCCGCCATGTCCTTTTTTAAAACTTCTTTTACAATAAATAATATTATTTCTTCCTCTCTAGAGATTTTGAAATTGGCATTCCACTTTTAATTCTATTATTGTTCCCTTTTGTAGTTCCCTTTATGTCATATGTGTATATGTATAGTTATGTGTGACATAAAGGAAACTGCATTGTGATGAGTTCAGCCAATTTTCTCTTGCCCATATTTCCTTTGCTTCATGTTTTATTTGTATAGTATAGGATTTCAGATAAAATTATTACTACTAAGTTATTATCTGTACATTATGTAAAACACATTCTGTGTTTAAAAGTATAGTCTCTGGAATCACACTGCCCATTTGAATCACAGTTCTGCCACTTACCAGCTTTGTGACTCAGCAAAGTTACTTAACCATTCTGTGTCTCAGTTGTCTCATTTGTAACATCAGGATAATAATATTACCTGCATCGTTGCTAGGACTAAATAGATTAATTTATGTAATGCACTTAGAGCAGTACCTGGCACATAGTATGTGCTATATAAGAGCTTGCTGTTGTTATTATCCTAGCATTCTTTTCAAGGAATTATTATTGACCTTTACATTTTATCTTATAAATATATTAATTTATTCTTTTTGGTTAACTGTTTTTTTTGGGTTTCTTCCTCACTGCTAGTATTTTCATTATGACTTCTTTCATAAGGTCTTATTATCATCTTTAAATTCTATTTGTACCTCGTTGAGTAGTTCTTTCAGGTATGATTTGTCTTATTTACCACTGTATTTTCAGTCCTTAGAACATTGTTTGGCACATAATAGTTGCCAGTAGAGATGTGATATGCATGGAGCCCTTGCATATCTGTTAGGCTCTGACAAAAGGGGGCACTCGAGGGAGACTGCAAGGCAGGAAGAGGAAAAAGGGACTTCCTTCTTTCTGTTTGTATCCTCTTTGCTTCCCGTCATTCTAGCATTGTTTCTTCATGGCAGCAGTTCCTTCCCACAGCAATCCCTGAGTCCAGTTTGTAGTTTTTATAACGCTCACAGTACCAGCCTCATGAAGCCCCACATCAGAAATACTAGCACCGCTAGCCAGTCGGCACCCATTCCTCAGAGGTTTATATACCACCCTCACAAAGGTCTTCTTCCAGAGACAGTAACACCAGCCAAATAGCTCCCATTTCAGAGATCTGAGTTTCAGCTCCACTGGACCCCTTTTCTAAACTTCCCAGTTTTAATAATCTCAGCCTCTTTCCTTTGTTCCCCCAGCCTTAGAACTGCACTTCTTATACTTGTTCCCTCCATGAGACCTTAGTGTTCTCCTTGGCCTCTTCATTTCTCCTGTTAACAACTTGATTCTTACTTAGTGATTTCTCTCTAAAAATAACTTGTATGTCTCCTGACTGAGACAGCTTATCTATTTCACAAACGTATCTCACCTTTCTGAGGGTAGGCTCTGTCAATAACTACTCCCTGTGTCAAGGGTCAGCAAAATGAAGCCCATGGATCAACTCTTGCCTGTGGCTTGCTTTTGTAAATAAAGTTTTATCGGAACATAGCCACACCCATTCACTTTCACATTGTCTATAACTGTGTTCACGTTGCAAAGACAGAGTTGAGTAGTCATAATAGAGATCACATGGCCCACAACACCTAAAATGTTTACTGTCTGGTCCCTTACAGAAAAAGTTTGCCAACACATGCCCTCGTCTACGGCTAGCAGAATTTTTTCCATATACTAGACATGCCAATAAAAAATGTTAAGTGAGTAAATCTATGGAGAAAAGAGCCAAAAAGGGAGATGGTAGAAAAAAAGAACAACAAAGAATATAGAAAAATTTACATATTAATGGTGATGCCAATTTTATTTATTGAGGTCCAAACCAGAAATTTGGGGAAAAAGAAAGTTAAATTGGCAAAATATTACTTTTCATTAATTTTCTGTTTAAAATATAAAAATATTATAAATAATTTTTTTGCTTAAAATATATTAACCTTCTAATCAAACATTTACAAATCATAAAAATTATATATGTTACATATACTTGAGTTTTTGGAATCTATGAAATAAGTTAAGTTATGGCAATATTAGAATAATAACTTTAGAGATGACTGAGAATTTTAAACTGGGCACAACAGAACTGAAATAGACACATGAATTGGTGTTTATGTATAGGCAGTATAGTTGATTGTGAAGCCATTTGAGAGATGTTAATAATTATACATACTTTGTAATGTAGTTTTAGTGATTGTGATAAATAAATCTTATGGTATGTTCTAAAGTAGTTTACTAATAGTATTTATTGAATAATTTACATTTATAATTCTTCACATATCATTCCAAAAAAAGCATATGTGCTATAAAAATCTTAATATAACTTTTAGTACACTGAAGCATTTAAGATATGCTATGAAAATAACATTGAGTCTATCAGAAATAATGGTTAAATTTGTCAAAAACATTCTCTATTAGTAAGGAATTGAATTTAGAATCTTAGTTTTACTTTTTATTCATCATTGAGGTTCATTATAGTACATTTACCTGGAGAATATATTATTCCAACCAGAAGTACTTTCTCCCTTCTCTGAACTCCCACATGTATTTATTGTAATAGTTTCCTATTTCTGCTATAACAAATTACCACACACTTAGTAGCTTAAAGCAACACAAATGTATTATCTTGCAGTTCTGGAGGACAGAAGTCCAAAATGGGCCTTATGGATTAAAATCAGGGTGTCAGCAAGCTGCATTCTTTTCTAGAGATTTTCAGGGGAGAACTATTTCTTGCCTTTTCCAGATTCTAGAAGCTGCTGACATTCTTTGTCTATGGTCACATTACTCCAACCTTTGCTTCCGTCATCACATCTCCTCCTCTGTCTTCCTGCCTTCCTCTTATAAGGACCCTTGTGATTACATTGGGCCCACCCAGGTAATCTGGGATAATTTTCCCATCCTTAACTTAATCCACCTGCAAAGCCCCATTTGCCATGTAAATTAACATAGTCACAGATTTTGGGGAAGGACATGAACATCGTTGGGGGTCCATTATTCTACCTACCACATCTGTCTTCTTTTATTTAGAATCATTGAATGTCAGAGCTGGAAGGGATCTTGGGTGGCAACTTGTCCAATCCCTTTATTTTATACATGAAGAAACTGAATGAAGCCAGAGAAGTTGTTTGTCTGCCTCTAAGCTTTTTTTAAGGTTAGGAACAAGGCCTTATTAATGTTTTGTATGCTTAACTAAGAACAATACCTTGAACATTTTAAGTATCAGTAACTACTTGTTGCCTGAATGAATAAAAGGTTAGTGATAGAAACCAGATATATCTGGTCTCTGCCTTGTTCATTTTAAGTTAATGCTAATGGAATTTGATAAAAAGCCACTTACTAAAAGTACCATGAGTGATAGAGAATCACTTATTCTTACGTTTTGTAATTAAAAGGAGGAAATCATTCAGTCTTAGAAATAACTACCTTTTTTTAAAGATTCCGGTTCTCTTTCTCTTGCACTATCTTTGCTTTTTTCTACCTACCCTCCTTCTCCATAAAATGAAAAGAAAGAAATAAAAGATAAAGAAGGAAAGAATGAAAAAGAATGAAAGGAAGAAAAAGGAGAAAGAAAGAAGAAAATAAAGAAAAGGAAGGAGGGGGGAAGAGGAAAAGAAGAAGGTACAGCAGTGTTCACTTAATTGTTTTGCTAGAGTGACTGATGGAATCCAGATTCAGATTCTTTGACACTCTTTGCCGTTTGGCTGTGTTGATAAGATAAGCCTATATTTCCTGTGATGCATATAGTTCATATGTGTTCAATAATTAAGAAAACTTAAAAATCAATATTTATCTTTTAGGAACTACTTCATAACTTTAGGAAAATATTTAGAAACTTAGGTTTACTTTCTGACTTATAATTTTCCTTCCTTTGTTAAGGAAGGATAGTTTGGACTCTTGATTAAAATAAAATTAAAAATTAAAATAATGTATCTGGCATTTCTTATTGAAAAAAATTAAAAATCTAGATCTTAGGTTTAGATTATCATCCAGATGAGATAAATCACTATTTTCCAAGAACAAAGCTTTGCCTGATGCTTATTTAATGACTGATTTTCTTTTGTTAATATTCTTGTAATTTATATAGAGTGTGATATATTGTTATATATTAGATGTCTTAGGCATGGTTCTTGAAATAAAATATACCAGAAGCTTAGTGTTAGATTCTTTTCCTACTTGTATCAGTGAGGTCTTCCATTGGCTGTATACATTTATACATGTCTAACTCTACTGGTATGTTATAAGTTTGTTGTATGTTGTTTGTTATGTTTTAAGTTTCTATAAACACTAAGACTGCATACGTCTATTTTTATTTTGTCTACTAAGATGGTACCTGTAAAATGCTTAAGCAAATGTAAAAAGGGACCATGGTAATAGTGCCTGGTAACTGATAATGGTTATTATCACAGTGAGCAAAATGTTAATTATAAGTTAACTTTAGAATGCATTCATTATAATAAGTTATATTCATTGGGTGAAAACATAATCTGATTTTCTTTTCTTGGCAGCAACTGGAATTGGTGGAACCAAGTGGCTGGATTCACGTTCCCTTAACTGATAATCATAAGAAGCCAACTCGTACATTCATGATACAGATTGCTGTTCTAGCCAATCACCAAAATGGAAGAGACACCCACATGAGACAAATTAAAATATACACACCAGTGGAAGAGAGCTCCATTGGTAAATTTCCTAGATGTACAACTATTGATTTCATGATGTATCGTTCAATAAGGTGACCTTAAAACAGAACAAAAGTCATTAAACATATCTTTGTTTTATCTTTTCAGTAAATATTATATCTGTTATCTTTATTGAAAAAAGCATCAGTTATTTTACAATTTTGTATGCATTGAAAAGTATTTTTTTGTAACTTTAATAAAGAAATTTTGGGTTATATTATCTTTGTTTTCTTTAACATAATAAAGCCCACATATTTTACATTATCAGAAGTGGATTTGAAGCCAGTCATTAAATTTTTTCTTACATCAAAAGAAAACCAGTTGAACTGAAAATTTCAAGATATACCTGATTTTTTACTAACCAGGTGATTATTTCATATAGTGATCATGCATTAGAGTAATGATTTACTGCATGTTTGGGAACAAACTATGGTTTTGTTTGTTTGTTTTTTGGTGAGGAAGATTGGCCCCGAGCTAACATCTGTTGCCAGTCTTCCTCTTTTTGCTTGAGGAAGATTGTCCCTGAGCTAATGTGTGTGCCAGTCTTCCTCTGTTTTTTGTATGTGGGATACTGCCACAGCATGGCCTGATGAGCAGTGTGTAGGTCTGCGCCCAGGATCCACTGCAGACCCAAGGCTGCTGAAGCGGAGCACACAAACTTAACCACTATGCCACCAGGCTGGCCCCTGTTTGGGAACAAAACTGTTTTATCAACAGATATTATCTTTAATAGGTCAAAATTCTTCTTCTTCTTTTTTTTCTATCCAGAGGAAGTTTATTCTTTTAATACTTGACCTTTTTAGAAACTGTGTCAAAATAAGCTTAGTATTAGGTGTCTGATGAGAACCATTCTAATTTGGGGAATATAGTTAATCATGTTGTAATTAGTTCCATGAAATATACTTATCTATATCCTGATACTGTATCCGAGATTGCCAGTATAATCTGCTGTGTATCCTAATTCTAGTGCAGCTTATAGAACAATTAGTTTCAAATTTGTGTCTGACACTGAAGCATTCCTTGAGGGATAATAGGTCTCATGAAAATTTTTAAAATGTATGAAATTGTTCTTTATATATAAAAAGATTTTAAACAAGCTTACATGTGTTTTCTTTCCATGGTTTAAAATGAGTAGATTTGATTCTGTATACTTTTTTCTTTTTCCCTATATCTGTTACTTTTTGGGAGGATGATTATTTAGCCACAGAACTTTCCCAGATTGGCTCTTGTTTGGGAAAGATTCTTTGGTGGTTCTTGCATTACTGGGTAGACTGAAGTCTTAAATGGCAAAGTTTAAAAAATAATTATGTGTTTGTTTTATTCTAGCAGAGAGTACTAACTTACATGGATACTATTAAAAAAAGGTTTCACTTTTTGACTCAACACAACCTCTGCTGTTCTTCCTATGAATTCCACAAAGAGGTTTTTTTTATCATTTTCATTTTATTGTCTTTTGAAGTAAGAAGCGTGGTAGGTGATCTATAGGGTTACCCAAAAGTCAATAACCAAAAATCACTTGGGATCAGCAAATTAATTCAAGTATAAACGTGAGATTCTTGGAAGGGTAGAAGAGAAGATTGAAGGAAAACGCATGGATAGGAATTAAAAGGAAAGAATCAAAAAAGTAATAGCAGTATGTACTAGGCACTGTATTAGATGTTTTGCTTTAGTCTGATAAGGAAAACATTCATGTAAACAACAGAGTTTTAGTCTAAGTCACAGAGAAATCTAATAAGTACAGAAAGTTTTATTAGTAATAATGTTACTATTTGCTAACTGCTTTTTAAAAGTTTGCTTAAAAGAAAAAAAGGAAGAGGACTAATTATCATTTGCGCGATCCAGGCTGTTATCTCCTACTACTAATAGTCTGCTAAGAGACTCCTACCATCAGGAGAGATGAAGAAGAATGTTGAGAAAATCAGTATATTTTCTACTTCTACTCTCTTCCCCTATTTTTCTTATGCTAGCTGGCTGACCATCTTAAAGGCATGGGGAAATTTGGTAGCTGAACATTACGGAGATAGTGCTTCCCCGTATTATAAGGATTATTTAAAACAGGTACACCATGCATTACATTAACAAAGCGTAATTTGCTAAAGCAGTTGCATTTCTCTTTTAAAAGTGCAAATTATATATCCTACAAAGGATTTGTATCTATAATATTTAAATAACTCTTACAACTCAACAGTAAGAAGACAAACAGTCCAGTTGAAAGTGAGCAAAAGATGAACAGTCACTTCACCAAGGAAAACATCTGACTGGCAAATGAGCTTATGAAAAGATGCTCAACTTCCTTGGACATTAGTGAAATGCAAATTAAAAACCACAGTGTGATACCATTTCACAGCCACTAGAATGGCTTCAATTAAAAAGATGGCTCCAAGTGTTGACAAAGATATGGAGGAACTGGAGCACACACTCCTGGTGAGGGTGTAATTAATGTATAACCACTTTGGAAAACAGTTTGGTAATTTCTGAAAAAGTTAAACATATACCTATTATGTGACCCAGCCATTCTACTCCTAGGTATTTACCCAAGAGAAAAGAAAGCATTTGTTCCTACAAAGACTTGTACATGAATATTCTTAGTAGCTGGATGTGTAATACCTCAAAACTGGAAACAACCCAAATGTTGATCAACAGGAGAATGTATAAACAAATTGTAGTATATCCATATAACAGAATACTACTCAGCAGTAAAAATGAATGAACGATTAATACATGCAACAACATGGATAAATTTCCAAAATAATTATGCTGGGAGAAAGAAGTTGTACAAAAAGAGTACATGCTGTAAGATTCTATTTTTAAAAAAATTCTAGAAAGTGGAAACTAATTGACAGGAAGGAGATCAGTGGTTGTTTAGGATAGGGAGTGGGGAGAAGTAAGAAAGGATGGGCTATTTTGGAGGATGATAGAAATGTTCATTATCCTGATTGGGGTACTGGTTTCACAGGTACATACGTATGCCAAAACTTATCAAGTTATACACTTTAAATATGTGCAGTTATTGCATGTAAATTATATCTCAGTATAGCTGATTTTAAAATAACTTATTCTCCCTGTTTCACATAGGAATTACCCAAAGATGCTAGATATGAAGTAGTTATAAGTCTTACTGTATCGGATCTGAGAATAAAAAAATTGAGATTGAAAAGCCTTTAACAGTTAAAAAAATGACAGCAAATTCACTAATTCACTTGTAATCTAGTTTATGTTTTTGAGTATTGGACAAACTGTGCAGTTAAAAGATTTAAATTTTTAAATCTCACATGTAATCTAAGTATGAGACTTTCAAAATTAGTTTATTTGCTGAGGAAGTATTGTCACAAGAAACTTATAGGACTGGAACTTTAAAATACAGCAGATCATTGAACACTCATAAATACACAACTCTAAAAAGACTAATAGATATTGGGTGTTGAATTAGATATAATAAGGAAACAAAGATAAATCTGATGCGGACCTCGTTTTTCAGTTGCTTATAGCCTACTAGGGGAAATAATAGGTCTCTAACCAACCAAATCAGAAATTAAAGTGCTAAGATCTCTTCATTGATTGATGTAGTGTAGAGGAGAAGAGAGAGTTGACTTCCTGTTCAGGAAGATAGAGGTGAAGCCAAAGAAGACATTGTGGGGGACGTGGAGTTTTGGAAAGAAAGACTATTTGTAATATCAGCTAGTTATTCACTTTTCAAGACTATTCTTGAATCTGGATTATCATTTCTTTTATATGAGTAACAAAAATTAATTTGAAACAGATGATTTGTGTATTCAGAATCAAGTGATGTTTTGTATATTACTTTTGTTTGGAAGGTTTCAATGATTAAAACACAGACAATCTTGAAAACTAATTTTAGACACCATGCCTTCTGTTCTTTTAGCCATTATGACTACTAATTTAGTACAGATTAAAACACTACAGAATAAATCTTCGTGAGTATAAAATTTTATGAATCAAATACAAATATTTATGTTTCTAGTGTTCTAGAAAATTGTTACTGCTCTAACAATTCTTAATTGTTAGAGTTAAAAAATTCTTAATAAAATCTTATTTTTAATTGAACTCTTGGTTATTAGTTTATTTCATTAACTACCTTTTTAGTATGACAAAATTTTCAAAATATGTTACATTAAAGCATTAGGGAAAATAATAACTTTGTAGTTGTGATTGTATGTGGACACTTTTGCTTTGTGGATCTTTAAACCAAGATTATCTTCCTTTGTCCACATTGTTCTGGCTTTCCCCACTTCTACTATGACTCCCTAAAGTATGGTGTTTGGACATGTTTGCTGTACAAAGCTCCCTTTACCAGCCTGCTACAGGAAGCTCTCTGTGCTTCATAGTCTGCCATTTGGTTGGTTCTGTTTCTGTGCAGTGGTGTCCAGAAAGCCTTAGAGAGAGGAAGAAGAAGGCCTTAGGGATTAGTTTATTAATTATCGTGATAATGATTAATTCTATTAACAGGACAAATCTTTAGGCTAATTACTTAGAAAACCTCCCAATATAAATCTAAGAAAATATCTATAATCCGTGGCAATTTTATATGAGAAGTTAAAATGATTTTTTAGTACTATTAACCAGTCTGTTTTTCAATTTTATGTGAAAGTGTCCTTCCTTTATCTATGGCTAATCCCACCACCGTTGTTTGTCTTCTCTTGTCTTTTCTAATGAATGGAACCAACTTTGTATTTTGCAAACATAAGCGAAATTACAGTTGGACCAATTTAGAAGTGCTCTACCTGCTTATGAAACTTTTTCCAAGTGAATTATTTCAGGAAATGGTATTTCACATCATGTATAATTGAAGCTCTAGCATGTACCATTTCAATCATTTTAATTACTACATTTGTGGCTGTAAGCTTTCCACTGATGCAGTACAATGATCACCATAAGATGTTCTTCCACTATGCATTTACTTTTCCGATGTTGAGAGCAAATTACACTTCTCTCCCTGTGGTCCTGGAAATAACTCCCCAAACTGTTTTTATAGATTTTATTCTGAGACTAGCTCTCCTCTTTACCCTGGCATTCATCTATAGCTGGAGATCCAGATTTTAACAGATCATTTCCTGTTGTTACTACAGCAGTATCAAAATACTGATCACTTACCAAGAAGCAAAGTATCCAAAAGACTGAAGCAGAAAGTTCAGCCAGCTGTTTGTTTTTCAACTGTTAAAATTTATAAGAATCACGTGTTACATAGATATGGTGACAAAATGAAAGGGAGAGTAGCTTCAGTAAAGCGAGAATGAGCCATCCAGCTATTGAGTTATAACACACTCAGGTGTTTACTGTAGACAAAGGAAAAGAACTTTACTATTTATCTTAAAATAGTGCCTATTTTTAAGGTAGTATTCAGTAACTAATAGAAGGTACAAGGAACCTATTCTTCAGGGATTTTTTTCTGAGTCATCAGGCTGTTTAGAACAGAATTCCTCATTTCTTTCTTGAAATTGTCAATTGTTAG